CTTCGTTGATTTGTCCGCCCCAACGCTAGGACTACAGTGCCTTGGACGTCTCACCAGCGACAGATGCCATCTTGTTTCGAAAGCCACCAACGTCACGTCAGCGTCGCGATTGGTTGCCGCTTCGCGGTTCGCGGAAGCGATCGGGGGAAATCTGTCCCGAAGCGGGGAGCAAAAACGCACCCCAACCGCTGGATGTGGTTCTTCGCAAGAGTGATATGGCTGTCCATAGCCAAGAGTGACCATGTAAGGGAGCCGAGGCCACGCGTTCATCGAACTGAATTCGATGGAAATTCTAATGCATTTCCATCGGATGAATCCCACTGGTCGTCGAACGTATTTTATGTTGTACCCAGAATGAAAAATTTTGAACCACGCGGGAAATAAGTTTTCTTGGGTGTGATTTTTGTTTTCTTTTGTTCGCTGTTTAGGCACACTAATACTTCTTATATTTACAACCTCCGCACCAGGAGAGCACTTAAATATTACTTCTCTCTATCTCTACAAACAATGTGGCGAAATTCTGAATTTCAGTCATACATTTTCAGTTATTTTCGTCGGGGATGTGTCCTGCCCTCGTCCTATTTATGATACTTTTATTTTGAGCCTCCACATTACTAGCACGCTCCAACTGATCGATCCTGGAATATTCTAACGTCTAATTTTCTTAAGTTCCTTGGAATGCAATTATGCCTGATGAAGGCTAACTAGATCATTTTAATAATCATATATGAAAATTAAAAAAAAACAAAAAAAACAACAACTAGGGTAGCCACCACTGCCCAATTTTTCGACTATGCATTCGAGTCAGTGCCCAATACGAGCTACGATTATCAGCCTCATTTAACCTTTTTCGCAACTTACTCGCGTTCTCTTGTAAGCCATGGGGAACAAAATCAACACGTAAGATAGATGAGCTTAGTTCACAATTTAAAAGTTATTAAAAAAAAAAAAAACTAACTTCATAACCGTTTTTCTTTTGTCGGCAGTTACAGGGAACTATTGTACCTATTACGAGAGACTATTTTGGTAGATCCTCAACGGATAGATGGGCACTGCGGGTACGAGCTCAGTCCGCGCTCGAAGTGACGTGCTATCGCATGCTCTTGCGTGCGATCTTCGAAAAGCCCCTATTAATACGACGAGAGAGCATAGCTGCACCACTTAATCGAGCGACAAGACAGGGAAATAACAATTAACCCTGTCCTCCGATATAGCCCTAATTCATGCTCGGTCCACCTTTCTCGAATCACCTCACGGGAAACAAATAACACTTTTTGGAAGACAGATTTCCCTTACTGCTTAATACGATGCTGTGGCATTGGAGTAAACAGTATACCTGGCACGTTCCCTGTTCTTTTGCTTTCGGTACCTTACTTTACGAAGCGCGAGGCCTGCACGATCAAGCGTACCGGCCTCCCGCGCCGTTAGCTTCGCGTACGCCTATTTGCGGCGTGTGCGAAAGGGGGCGCATCTCTAGCTATCATCATCATCGTTTGTGACGTCACGGATAGGACAGACTCGGACAAAACGCGCAGATCTTGGATCCCTCGGCTCTTCAGCTCGCTTCATGCGCTGTTCGGGTAACGCGCGGCAAAGCCGGTTTCACGCGTTGTGTCTCTTCGGTGAAGTGATATTTGTGAGGACATTTTACCGAAATTTGAAACAGCACGTGTCAAGCGTAGTCGTGCCAACAAACACTTTTGGCGATGAGGGGTCGAAGCTCTCGGACGGTGAAGTGCTGTTCCTAGTATAAAAAGCTAGATGATGAAAATAGGAAATCTAGCGCTTTATCGCACTCCAACATCTACCACGGCGAACGAGGTGTATTTTTCATTACGATTCGGACAAAATAAAATTAAAAAAAGGAAACTATCATTAAACTGAAGATAGGAAAGCGAAATTCAAGAACCTCGCGCGTGTGTAGTTTACACTTCAGTGAAAGCGACTTCGTATATGCTGGTCCTTCCAATGTCTTCTGCGAGTGCTGGCCTCTTATAAGTTTCAAGTTGATTTCCTTTTGAAATTTGAAAACCAGTAAAAAAAAATATATATTTCCTCAAAATAACTGGCAGAAAGAAGCGACGGCTGGCATCCGGAGTCGTTTCAACTAAATCTTATTTAAATCTTATTTAAATAAATAAAAAATTCACCCGGTCGACGCGAAACGCGTCCCAAAAATACACCTTCTATGAATTACTGCCGCGTGTATGTTTAATATTTGTAGACCCAAATGCGCATAATGCGTGATGCGCTTCTCAGCGAGCGATTTTAAATTTGTAAACAATTCTTAGTAAAATCAGGATAGAACAAATTGCGCAATCGCCTGACATCGCCGGGCCATGGCTGACAATTTAAGAATGTATGAAAATGTCTCATTTTCTTTCGAGCAGAAGTCGCGATGGGACAAACTTCTTTGCCGCGCGTATTCGATTGGGGAGGAGCGAAGCGACAGTTGCTGACGAGGCGCTCGGCAGCAACTGTCGAGTCACACTTGGATAGAAGTGTCGGTACCGTCGAGATCAATGTAGCTAAAACAAGTGTGAGGCGCCTTGCAACACAACTGTGCGCGCGTGCACAGCTAAGAAGACATCACGTCATTTACTCTGGTTAATGCAAAACCTTTCTTTACAGCAGCCTCCACAGATCCGGAAAAACAAGGATCAGAGGAGGCTGTGAATAGCCCTGACTGACATCGCGCAAGCTGTAATGTGAAGCACCAGGTTTATTTTTGAAAATTTAAAATATTTCTAGTGTAGAAAGCAACTTCGAGGCGCGGTTATTCATTAGAAAGATCACTCACAAAAGTTTCGTTATACCCGATTCTTTAACAAAGAAATCGCTATTAATCGACATAGATGCGAACCAACAAAGCCACTCTGTGCTTTGGAATAGCACGACGTCTGCTTGCATCCTACCTGCTGCGTCACGGGAGGGCGCCCGCGAGGTGGCGCCACCAAAACATCTCGTCGCCCTCGCCAGGGGGAGGGGTGGCGCTGCGTATGCGCGACGAAACTTTAGCCGCAGTTGCATGATTGTCTAAATCTAGTGACGTAGTTAGCCGGACGTCCTGACTCGGCGCCGCAATGCTGTCAAGATGAACTTACGGCTCCAGAAACCGAATTTATAAATGGAAAGAAAAACATTGAATTCACTGAGAACAAAAGAACGACATTCAAAATTGACGAGGTAAGCGCACCTGTGCTACGTAAAACGGAAAAAATAAAACGCACTAGGCAGCAAGCGAAAAGTCAAACACAAATATTCCAAGGGCTGCCGAATTAAATGTTGCAACGCCGAAAACTCTAATGCATGCAAATCATTCCAAATGCGAACGTTCTTTTTCCCCTTTTTTTTCTATGAAATAGCTGGAAGACATTCTCACTCCCCTGATGAGTTGTTCCATCGGCAAAACGGCAGATTGCCATTTTCCGACGTCTGAAAATGCATCGTCTCGTTCCACTGCCTTTCACAATCATTTTCACGGACAATTCCTCACAAACAACTTCCCGTCGTTGCTCCCCAATATAAAATAAGAGAAAGCCGAATTCGCTTAAGAACTATTGCGTTGCCGTTCCCTTTCGCAATTCTCTTTTTTTTTTTTTTTTTTTTTGCTCCCTTTATTCAACGTTTTCCATGGTTGTCGTGACTGAATTTCAATCTCGTCTGTTTACGCGCCCGAAAATTGAATTGGACAACGCCTCCTTAGCAGTCAAACTCCACGAGAAGCAAGAAGACACATATAGACAAAAGGAGGCCCCCAAAAGAAGCAGAACTCCGTTTTTCTATTCTCCTCCGGTCCCAAACTCTCTAGTACTGAGTGGCCCACTTGGGCGGCAGCAGATCACGTGACGGCCCTGGCGCGTTCGTCGAGTTTTCTTTCTCACCCGCACTGACTAAGGTAAAGCCTTGTTTCTTTTCTTTTCTTGCCAGTCATTCACGGCTTATAACGATGTATATTTTGCATGTTATTTTTGTGCCCCCTTCCCCTACTGTAATGCCTTCTAGGCGATGTAGGTACTCTAATAAAAAAAAAAAAAAAAAAAAGAAAATGAGCGTACCATATCCTGCCCACACACCCAGGGAGCCAGCAAGCCCGTTTCCAGATATAGCATTTGGCCCGTCTAAGTTGACAACACAATTGCAAGAACAAAAACAATCATTAAAGAAATCGGTTTTCTTTCAATTGCAGGCTTAAGCGGAGAGATTAGTTTACGTACAACGCGTTGATTCCGAGTCACTTGACGTCACAACTCAAGCACGAAATTCCCAAACTTTGTTGACGTTGGAAGGGTGGGGCGTTTAGTTGGCCTTCAATTTCCTTTAGCTTTGGCGAACAGAAAAATTCTTGTCAAACCAGAAATTGGAGTCTCGAAGTACGTTCTCTGTCCAAAACCCCCACTTTCGTTCCAAGAAAGCGAACTCTGAGCACTCCATTTTGACGAGTCTGCATCAGTGCACCGCCCACCGCATCTTCTTATTTCTATATATTTTTCGGAACTAGTTCGGAGTAGATAAATGCATATAAATAAAAAAAAAATGATGGAGAGGAGGCGACCTCCTCCCCAGCTTTCACTCTGCTAAAGTGGAAAGGGGTGGGAGGAGCTTCCCCTAAAGTCTTAACCTTCTTTTTCCCCGCAGGTCCCTATTTTTCCCCAGATAGGACGGCCCAGCCCGCTACGGGGACGGATCACCCCTCGGCGACCCAGGGAGGCATCAAAAATAGCAAAGCTCGAAAAAAATAAAAAATAAAACCCGGTGTCGTTTTGACGAGAAAACACGTTTGAACCTCCTCGCATTGTCTCTGGGTTTAGATTATGCTTCCTAACCAGCTCTGCACGGAAAATTCAAAACAAAAAGGCAACAAAAATGTCCGAGGACGGAAACATTTCGCGCACAGTACAAGACACATCGCGGTCTCGGCGGCTGGCAACAACTTCCGCCCCGCTGCGTGTCCTGCAACAGATGGCGCTAGCTACCGCCCGATCAAGAAAAGCGCTCACTTGAGCCTGGCGGCGTTCTCCCGACGGTCCCTCTCCTCTTCCAGCTTGCTCACCAAGCACGGCTTGAGCTTGGGACTGCCGGAGTACCTGCAACGAGCGGGGAAGACAGCCTGAGCACGAGGGACACAACAACACTTGTACGCACGCAATACTTCTCGTTTGAGTCTCTTCGTAAGCGCCCGTGGTAGATGCGAGAGCAGCTGTATACGTGTGCGTATGTTTACGACCGTTCGCCCGTTCCCAGGGATAAGAAGAGTAATTCTGCGTAAGTCTGCGCAAAGTGAACACTCGGGAGTCCTTTTATGATCATCCCGAAAATTCCAGTCCTTGATATATGCTATTCATTTTGAAAAACAGCGCGAATACCACACGGACAAGAAGGAGGAACACACAGGACGAGGCGCTGACAACAGCGCCTCGTCCTGTGTGTTCCTCCTTCTTGTCCGTGTGGTATCCACGCTGTTTTTCAAAATGAATTCATACCAACTCGCCCAACTATCCATTCTGATATATGCTACTTATCTCCTAAACATACAAGTAAAAAAAAAAAAAAAAAAAAAAAAAAAGTGCGATTACGAGCGGATGGACCTTCCATGCCAGAGTCAATCGTATCGTTCTGGCATGAAATAAAGAAAAAAAAAATAAATAAAATAAAAAAAAAACATGTTTTAATAAAGCGGGTTAAAATTATGGCTAAATTTATTTCGGGATGAAGGTAAAAAAATTCATATAAATTGTTTCGCGAAAATAAATTAAACCAAGGTAGTACCAGTCGATAGGGCACGTATAAGCCTGCCTGCGTAAAGTATTTAATAAGCAAGATGTTGGACGAATCCTAAGATACCAGGCTCCAAATATGTCATCAAAACGTCGAAAATGCGACGTTTGGCATTTCTTTTTATTTCATTTTTGGCGTCAAATATGCAATGCAGTTCAATCAAAACGATAAAAGTAGGCCATGTTTCATGCGTTCACAAGAAAAATTAGCGTGAGTGTTTTCGGCTTTACCTATTTATAACAACATACAGAACTGGGTACAAAAATCAAGCAGCCTAAATGTAGCACATCGCACTGCTTCACCTAGTTGTCTCGTTAAAGGGGCACCAACAGGGTACTTATGCTCGCCAATAGTTTTATTTGTACATAACATATGAGAGCCCAACAACGCAGAACACAATTTGCAAATCGACATTCGTTTTGTTTTTTTCGCCTGAAAACCGAAGATCGAGAATTGGCCGGTTTGAGTCGCGCTCACTCTCTTCTCCGTGGTCACGTGCCGTTTTCTATGGGGTTTAGACACAACCACCAAAGGATAATCAAAATCGTGGGCCATCCAAGGCACACACTCAATATCAAAAATGGAAAAAAAGAAATATGATACCGATTTTTTTGTGGCTACTAAAAACTGCAAATACGTTGACAAAAAAAAAAAAAAAAAAGTTGCACAGTCATGTGATTTTCGGTGACTTTCTCCTCCTTTATATGTCTGCTTCCTCCCCAGTCCAGTTTCGGTTTCAATTTCAAGCAATCGTGTTTTTTTTTTATTTTATTATTATTATTAAAAATATACGTGATGCTGGAACAAAATATTGATTTGATAGTCCTCTGTCACCATAATAAATCGCACAACAAAATATTTAAAAAAAAGTTGTTTTTTTTTTTTGTTTTTTTTTTGGTGGGAGGGGGGGGGGGGGGGCGGGTGTCAGTGTACCTTTAATTCAAGATGGGAACCATAATAATATAATTGTTTAAGTATAAAAAAAAAAAACGCACCTACAGCGAGTTCGATTTCAAACGAAAACAGCCACAGGTTTTGCGCCGAAACGGAGCAAAATTGAGCGGTCAAGTGAACCTATCGGAGAGCGTGCTCCTCTAGAGCGGGATTGTGCGTGCAGGTTAACCCAGACTTGCTCCGCAGAAAGAATATCGATAAAATCAATCATATATCACTATTCGAGCTTCCATAGGCTTCGGACCGCTCGAGCGCAACACGCGCACGGGGCATTTATAACACCGTCTCCGGAGAGCACTCCGTTTCGCCACTCGCCAAGTTGTCCCGAAGATGGTTGTCACGTGCGTGGAATGACCAACCTGTTTTTAGATGGAGCGCTTTGGGCCCTTTGCTTAGTTCGAATCTGTTATTAGAAAACATAAGTAGATTGGTTTCTATAACGCGATACCGACCTAACGGCTTCCGCCAGGAAGGCCCATCCGCGTAAAGTAGACAGTCGGTGTGCGTTCTCGGCAGCGGGAAGACAAATAGGCATTTAGGTTTTTTTGTTTAAAATCCGCCAAAAAAGGTAATTGGAAGAAATGCCACTGTGGTGACTCGACACGTTGTTCCCCGTGGATATCTTCACCTTCTCGCCTTATTTTGTCTACGGAGTATATATTTTACCAGCATAAGCGCGTGCAACGTAACGACACGTTCCAGTCTTAGAAAAAGTAACGGGAGTCTCGAGCCAGTGGAACTTGTGACGGGAATTTCTTCCAATAATTGAGAAGGAAAGAGGAGCGCGTTTTCGTTTCCTGTTCTGGAGCAAAGATTGCGCTCGGTCCCGTCCCCGCATCCAATCGCAGTCGCGCGCACTGCTCATTACCAGCTCCCCTAAGGTTCGTGAACAAATTTCGGTGTAAACTAATTTCGAGGTTGGTCATTCAGATCTTCCCTCGTATTGTCCGCGGTTTTTTTTTTTTTTTTGTTTTTCTTTGTCGCATTATTTAGTGACGAGTCTAGCCCAACTCGCCATCTTAGAACGCAAAATTGTCGGTTTGGGGCTATTTTAAACAGTAAAACTAATTAGAATATTATTTCGGTCCGCTGCGCATCCAAATCATTTGGTTTCAGCGATTTAGGACAACCACTTTCGCGATCACTAAAACCTAAGCCGGACGCCATGGCGAGACAAAGAAAAGAGCTCGATTAGGGCGACAAACATAAACAGGGGGCACTGCTCGCGACGTCTCGCCGGATCGCGCTATAATTGCGGGGCAATTACGAAGAAGCCCGGGAAAAAAAAAACATACGTCATGGTCAGCGGGGCAAGCGTCCACGCAAACGCGCAGCCCAACAAAAAATAAACATGGAGCAAGATGAGAAACAAAAAAAAAAAAAAAAAAAAAAAAACTAAAAGTCTCCAGAAGCACTTTGCGGAAAGCTTAACTGCGTCCGAGCAAACGTTTCTCAAAATACAGAGATCGACAAAGAAAGCGACACAGATATTGCGAGGGAGGGCGTTGTATACGATCGGCGATCAATAATAGCCCCACGGTAATGATGCCCAGATAAAAAAACACAACAACAAAAAAAAACACAGCAACGCGAAACAGACACGAGGAATGCGCGGCGCGCGCCTGGGATGAAAACAAAGCGCTGCGCACAGCGTTGTTGTTTCGTTTTTCTGAACTCGAGAGAGAGCCAAAAGTAGCCAGAGGATCGGGTCGTTCAGAGAGCAACAATGTTTCGGCCCTTAGCAGAGAAAGTACGAGAGCGGAAGAAAGGGGAGGGGGGGGGGGGGGGGGGGAGGGAGAGGGGAGGGAGAGGGGAAGAAGAAGGAGTGCACATAAATTCACGAAGATAATAAAGAGCCGGTCAGAGAGGAGCCAAAAAAAAAGAAAAATGGTCGAACTTGTCCCCACCCCCACCCCTAGAAAGAGAAAGCAAATCAGAAGAAGGAAGGAGACAAACAGAAGAGGCCCAATGGCGTCCGCATCGAGAGAAAGCTTTTCGAACTTTTAAGTGGCGCTCTCGCTCTGTTTTCCGCCCTCGCATCATTTGGACATCGCGGGCGAGCGTGAGCCATTAAATGGCTAGAAATAAAAAGAGCTTCACAAACACGCCCAGACCCGGTCAAAAATCACCCAGTGGTAGCACAAGCTGGCCGCCCTAGAACGGCCTCGCAAAACAATTGAGCAAAAGCTCGGAATAAAGAGAAAAAACAAATTGAATTTCGTTGATGGAAGGAAAAAACCGAGAGGATTGGTTCGAGCACATACAGCATTCGCAATAAGCGGAGTGCCACCCAAAGCCCCGCAATAATAATAATAATAATAATAAAAAAAAGATTAATTACTTTTTTTTTTTTTTTATCTTGCGCCGCGCGAAGACGTATCAGTGCTGGGACGATTTACTAAACCGAGTGACGTTGCGTGGAACACGCGGCATCTCAGTTTCTTCCTAAAAAAGCCTCAGACTTTTTTGGCATTTTTGCGTAAAACACCGCAAACAGAGAATCGGGCGAATGCAACAATCGGTAGAGTTGCGGATCGGAAACAAGTGGTCGCATCTTAGGTCGGCTGCTTTTGACGACGAAGCGAGGGCGAACGAGGGAAAGATCTTAGAACTTGGGATGGCAGTCACTTGGAGGAGAAAACTGAGGAAGACTGATTGTCACAAGTGAGAAGGCGAGCTGGTTACGGAACGACATACTTGTGAATTCCCCTGAGAAGGGGAAGAAGAAGAAAAAAACGGACAAAACAACGCAGAGTTTAAAACGCACCTGATATTGAATCCATTAACGTCCCACACAGCGTGCTTTACTCGCACAAAGAGCAGCTGGACCGCGTCGTGCGTCATTTCCTTGACCCGCTGAATCATCGCTTTTGGACCTCGCATATCTCCCATTTGCGCTGAACGGGCGAGACGTCCAGCCACAGACGTCGTTTCCAGAGTCGCCTTCTGGGATTCTGTCATTTTCTAAGCAGCTTCCGTCTTAGAGGCTATGGACGTCTCTCAGGCTCGTTCAAAGGGAACTGGGAGACTTCTTTGGGGCGTGGTTTTCGAGCGCATACAGTCAGCCCCGCACAGAGTCGTCGTCATCGGCGACGGCTCGAGAGGCGCCTTCACGTGGCTATAGCATCGCGATCCAAGCTGCGTTCAATAAACCCATCTCCAGTTTAGATCAGACGGGGGGCCACGAAGGGATGTGCGCGAAGTCGAAAGCGGGTCACCCTCAGCACACCAACGAGATGCCGGGGGCGAGGGATGCGAGTGTTTGCAGTCAGCGCTTTCCAGTCTTGGTTCTTCACTCTTGATTGCACACAGGGGTCTCGACACCAAAGCGTTTAAAGGGGTACTCCGGCGATTTCTTTATGGCCCCCGATTTGTTTGAATTTTTTTTTCTAAACTCACTAACAAACATCGATAAAATTGAATCCCGAATATTAGGTCTAAATATTTTTTTTTCTTTTTCGCGAAGTTATTGAATTTACATTTTTTTTTTTTTTTGGAGGGGGGGGGGGGGGGGTTTCACCGTGTTTTTCAAACTGAAACTCTCTACTGGCAACAACGAAAAAGTGACGTCGGTGGAAGGCAGGGGTTCACTCTTCGGACTGTAAAATTTGTTTCCGACTGATTCCAAGCAGTGTCGTGGCGTCAAATGAATACTTTGGAAGGCCGCTCCAGTATAGCCGCGCTCCAGCACGGAACAAATGATTGGCACGTTCTGTTTTTTAGACTCCTTGCTCGACTGGCAAGCCTACCCGCCTCTGACGTTAGGGCAATAAGAAGCGCGGGGATATTTGAATGTTGGTTCTCGCATCATTTTCATTCGCCCATTTCACAATAACTATTATGAAATTCGCGATACAAGATAGCACACTGGAAAGGAGTCAGAGAATATGGTTAGGTGAGGTAGCTCAAAAAATCGCCGGAGTACACTTTTAACAACAAATAAAAGTCATGAGTCATTCCACTCTGTGAAGGTGAATGACCAGCGAAGTTGTTTTGCACACGACACAGACCCGCCCCGAGGAGCCGGCGGAAAGTAGACGCCCGCGACGGGAACGCCACCCCGGTAGTGCGGAAATAAAGGAAACTAGGCACGCAAGCGCTTGGAATGACGACAGAGAGATGGCGGTGCGAGCGTAGACATTATTTTGATCGGTGAACGATTTCTCTTTCGAAGCTAGACAGATTCGCCGGTACCGCGACAAACAGTTCTGAAGTAGAGGTGCCACGTCCGCCGCCCGCCGCCATCGTTTAGTCCGCTTCGTTCAGCCGTCCGTCCAGCGACTCCCGCGGTACGACACTATGCTGAGAATTACTCGGAGAAGGCACAGAGTGATCGCCATTCTCTGTGTAACTTTATTTTTTCATTCAGTTTATCTGCAGCCAAAAATGTGTATCCTGTTTTTGTTTCTCTATTTTAACACTGAATGTGTGTTTTCGATGACCCACGACCTCGATTAAATTTGGTGTGTGTGTATTACCCATAGACAATTGCACGTGACCAAGAAGAAGAAAGTGAGGGCGACTCAAATCACCGGTTCTCGATCGGCGGTTTTCGGGCGGAAAGAAAACAAACTTCGAGCCGCAAATTGTGTTCTGCGTAATCGGCCCTCTCGTGTCGCGTACACATAAAAAGCCTTGGCGAGCATAAATACCCTGCTAGTGTCCCCTTAAAAGAGCAAACCTAAACGGCAGAAATTCACAGCGCGCGCAGAAAGTCACACGAGTCCCGATCATTCACTGGGGAAGGCACGAGCAACGTGGCAAAGCGTTTTTCCTGCGCAAGTTGTCGGGCAAACGAAGCCGCGCCGTTACGCCGTTCAAAGCGGTGCACACAACTCGTGAGACAAACACCAAACCCTGTTGTTTTGACCGTTTGATGATTTACTTTTCGAAGTCTGAGAGGTCGTCGGGTACCTAAAAAAGGGAACTTCGTCCGATTCCCCGGCTCAGAGATCACCCTCAGCGCGACATGTGGCGAGCGGCGCGGCGCAGCCATATATTCTCCGACGGAGGACAAAAAGCCAGGAGGTGACATCACTCCGAACTCCGATTCTCGATATTTCAAAAAGAAAAGCCGTTAAACGTTAGCAATTGCTTAAAAAAAAAGTGTTTTACGAGTGCCGTTATTAAATATTATAGAAATGTCGCCTACAGAGCTTCAAATTTCATAATCGATTACGTCACAAATAAAAAGAAGCGAGGAGGAAAGAAAGAGGAGAAAAGGGCGCCGAAGATTAAAAAACAAAACAAAAACGCAAGCGAGCGCGGGAAACGTTTTTTTTTTTTTTTTTTTTTTTTTTCGCGTTAAGGTATTTTTTTTTTCTTAGAAAAAGAGAAAAAAAAACTTTTAAGACAAAGCGCAGCCGGCGCTACGAGTCAGCGGGACTAGCTAAACAGCGTCAAAGCACACCATGGCATTCGTAATCTCCCTATCCATGTTCTTTCATCGGCTAGACAAACCAAGTGCAGCGCATGCTCCTTGATTTCCGCTTTTAGTATGTGTCTTCGTGGATACATGTGTTCGAGCCTTCGACTGAGCTCTGACCTAAGATGAGACAGTCTATGCAGTAAGAGAGACGCCGTGAAATGCATATATGTACCATCTCCCCCCCCCCCCCCCCCCCCCTAGTTCTCTGAGCACTAGGGTCAACCAATGTATTTCGTTTTTACTTTGTCGAAGACCACTCAGCGCAGGTAGGCGCGATTCTTATACTTTCTGTCAGCTTAAAGAAGCGGTGCACCGATATTCAATTGGAATGTTTTTCACCTTACACGAGCTTACTGGCACACCTGGGACTCAAGGATACTCACACGCAACGCCACTGGCCAAGAAACTCCTTTGTTGCGGTGTAATTTCAAGGACAAATGCGATCATTTTCATTCAATCGCTCCTCTGCAAAACTTGACGACGTAACGAGGGGATTGCAGTACACCCCAATGACGATATTTGAATGCGGTTCATAGATTGGACACTAGCATTGCGTGGGCACTCGATTTGCGCTCGTGATAATCGATAGCTCGAAAAGCATTCGGGTAGTGGCCCGTGTCCAATCGCTGCAACGACGACAATAGCCGAGCCATAACAATGTCTGGAACTCAGCGCGAGTCCTGTGCTTTGCCAACCCCAGCGCGTGGCTATGATCAACATTGGCGGCATATAATCGGCTCCAGATCACGTGGCCTCTTGTTTTGGTTGCGAGTTGAAAGAATAAACGCTGGTCGTTTTTTTTTTTTTTTAATTTTTTTCTAAGACTTTTATTGCGTGGGGTGAAAAACGAACGCGTGTTTCACGAGTGCGCATGCCAAGCATGCGCACTCGCGCAGTGCAAGCACTGCTCAGGGCCCCATGGTCGCGCTCGTAGCATCGGCTGTGTCTGGACATAAACTGAAACCAAGTAAAGCAAAAAAAAAAAAAAAAAATAGCATTTTGGCACAAGATGTAGCAGACATTCGTTCATGGCGCAATATAGCGCGGCACTTCCATCACCGCGAACTAACACACAGCCGAGACTATAAAACGCTCCGCCTCGCAAGCACGGCGCCTAAACGAAAATATTCTCCTCCGGCTTATTTCAGATGCGGAAAAGCAGGCAAAAAGAGCTGATGTCCACCGGCTACAGGATCCAAATGTATTATATATACATTCGATGGAAAGACCGACACATTGTACACATTAAGGGCACTGTACATACCAAGAAACTGCAACACAAACATAAAAGAAAATGAAGCGGCGCAACCGCAAGATGTGTTATAAGGAGCCCGAAATTGAGCGCAAGACAAATTATTTCTGCAGTACCTGCTACATTTACCTGCGTTTTACCCCATCCAGAAACTGTTTCATTGAATGACATGCACGCAAGGATGGTTGCGACTGTGGGAAAACTTAATGTTTTTATGAAGTTTTCTTTGATTTTTTTTTATTTTTTTTATTTAGAACATTGCAGTTTAAAGCCATGCTTGCTATTGAAATGTGGCATATTTTGTATATTTTGAAGGTTTCTGGTTGTCATTTTTTGCTGAGATATCTGCATATATTTCTCATTTTTGTTACGTTGGCCACAATAATTTTGGAATACAGAAATCTAAAATAGGCTCCTATTTTATGCTGATATAACTAAAACGAACATTTATTGCGCTATATTTTTATATACTCCAACACATATCAAAAGCAAATGTTAAAAAAAAAAAGAATACTGGGACCTTTCAAAATGGGCCGTTTTCCCGTAATAAAAAAATAAAAGCTTTAAAAAAACAAATATGCATACGCAAGGCTCGCTTTATATGTAAGACGTCACGCGCGCTTAAGTAAACAACCCGTCAAATTTAAAAAAAAAATAGAAAAACAATTCTCCTTGGTCGAGCTTTTCAAAGAATTCGTTCGACTGCTCAACAAACAAGGAACGCCCCTGAACCGCGTCCCGTCGGTCTTCTCCTCAGCGACTCAGAGCATTGCGCCAGAGCAATCTTTTCAGGAGCACTTGAGCCCCGCAATCTCCCGCATCGCTTCGCCGCCATACACGCGTGCATTCCGCAAAAAGGCCCCGATAAGGGTTAAAAAAGAAAGAGGGTGAACGGGAGGGTTCAGTTCTTTCAATGCCTCGCTGTCACGTGACAACACCGCCTGCATTGTGCAAAAAAAAAGCGTCTCGCCGCAAGGCTCAGTCCCCGTGAGCGCGCTTACAAGCGCAAGCTATAAAAATATATACATTAAGACGAACTTCGTACACGCAGCTTTAGAGGCTTCAATGGAGGTTAGGCTCCCCCGCGAGGACACGCTCAATGCAGAGAAGTGTCCTTAGCGAACTCGAAGGGAAAAAAGGTCAGATTCGCTGTACGGATGTATAGTCAGAGGGATAGAACTCAAAATGGCGTCTGGTGCCTGCGCTGTTAATGGCCGATTTAGCCGCTGTAGAACGACCGCTAACCTGGGGTCATTAACGCGCGTGGCGCAGTAGTGATTACACGACCGCACGCCGGTACGATGCTCGTCCAGATCGAAGCGAACTAGA